TGGGTTATTTGTTGCCATATGTCTTTTATACCAACAATCATATTTGAAGGATAAATCACATTTGGGACAATGGTATTTATAAGGTGAGTCTACGTCGCTACTTCCTGTCGATTGTATAGAACCTTCATCGTCAGTTTTTTGGTGTACTTCATTTTCGTCAGATGAAGAAACGTCTGTATCTGTAGAACTGTCAGAATCTGTCTCAGACTCTTCTGTAATATAAGTAAAAATTATTGTCATAATTTAATTGTATGAGCTATAAAAGAATATAATTGACGATAGGGAAGAAATTCACAAGATAAAAGTAGAATGTAAAACAAAAAAACAGCTGTATTACCGTTGGTTTCAGTAGAAGCAGGAACATTGACGGTCTCTGGCCGGTCGTTAACTGTTGTCGTAAGTGTTGCTTCGAAATAATGACATACAGAGTGGTGTGAACGTGCTTGCTCTAATGGATGGTAGTACACGTCTGAAAACAGGCCTATTCGGGCTCCCTTATATATGAAGTTCCCCGTGCCCCTCGCCTACAGATACGGTATCTTGGTTCTCACGGATGTGATTTGTGTGGTCATCATTCTAGCCCACGCATTTACGATTGAATGTATTACTAAACTATGACTATTATTAAAATAATCATTTTACTCTTTTTTTATTTGAATTTCGTCGTATGCACTCAGTGTTTTCTCTATGATTATTATAAAATAACCACCTTATTCTTTTATTTTTGGATCTCGTTGTGTGTGCCCAGTGTTCCTGTAAAATGTTACAACCGCCTATTTCTGAACCCTAATTTCCTTAATATCTGGTTATGCCGGTCTATCGTATATTATAATGACTATACACTCGTGACTTATGATTTGTTGTCATTTGTTGGCGAGGAGGAGGAGGCAGCACCATATATCCATGCATTAGTATTGTTTGCAGATGGTATTAGTTTTTCTGTAAACAATTAAATAAATGAAATATTTTTTAAAAAAAAAACCAAATTATTTATACTTAAATAATCAATCAAGGTTAATTAAAAAGTAAAAATTACTTTTGCAACTGCAATCTGTTATTTTAGCGCTGACTATGTCATATATTTCATTCATTTTTGTAGTCTTTATCCATATAAAACCACAATCAAAACTGTCATTGTCGTCGATGACAATATAAAAAAATGTATCTATGATACCACTAAGGTGCTTGCGACCAAAAAGGTATATATTAATTAAATGATCAAGAATAATAAAAAAAAAAGATTTGTATAATGCATTACATTACAATTCTTCAAAAAAAAAAAAATATACAACTATTAGATAGAAATATAAACGAAAAATAGTAGATAAAAGAAGTAACAAACAACTACATAGGTATATATTATATATTTTATTGTTTGTGATCCTGAAAAAAAAAAACAATATCAATGTTAATAAATTCATATTTTTTTTTAATAAAGTTTCAATATATTACCATTTTAAGACGATGGACTGAGAGCATGCAGGGTACAGGAAATCTTTCAGCACATATGTTGCACTCATACGGTTTTTTTTTTGAATGTACACGGTTGTCGTGATACCTCAATTGTCTCTCTCCCGAATACATTTTGTCACATTTTTTACATTTGACCATTGAGTCTTGATGGATCAATTTTATATGCATGTTCATATTTCTCTTATCGCCGAATTCTTTGTAGCAATGCTTGCATTTATGCTTCAACCCACCCAAATGAAGGTGTTGATGTTCTCTCATAGTGACTTTCCTTTTGAAAACTTTAGGGCAATATTGGCATGTAAAAGTCCCTGGGTTATTTGTTGCCATATGTCTTTTATACCAACAATCATATTTGAAGGATAAATCACATTTGGGACAATGGTATTTATAAGGTGAGTCTACGTCGCTACTTCCTGTCGATTGTATAGAACCTTCATCGTCAGTTTTTTGGTGTACTTCATTTTCGTCAGATGAAGAAACGTCTGTATCTGTAGAACTGTCAGAATCTGTCTCAGACTCTTCTGTAATATAAGTAAAAATTATTGTCATAATTTAATTGTATGAGCTATAAAAGAATATAATTGACGATAGGTAAGAAATTCACAAGATAAAAGTAGAATGTAAAACAAAAAACAGCTGTATTACCTTCGGTTTCAGTAGATGCAGGAACATTGACGGTCTCTGGCCGGTCGTTAACTGTTGTCGTAAGTGTTGCTTCGAAATAATGACATACAGAGTGGTGTGAACGTGCTTGCTCTAATGGATGGTAGTACACGTCTGAAAACAGGCCTATTCGGGCTCCCTTATATATGAAGTTCCCCGTGCCCCTCGCCTACAGATACGGTATCTTGGTTCTCACGGATGTGATTTGTGTGGTCATCATTCCAGCCCACGCATTTACGATTGAATGTATTACTAAACTATGACTATTATTAAAATAATCATTTTACTCTTTTTTTATTTGAATTTCGTCGTATGCACTCAGTGTTTTCTCTATGATTATTATAAAATAACCACCTTATTCTTTTATTTTTGGATCTCGTTGTGTGTGCCCAGTGTTCCTGTAAAATGTTACAACCGCCTATTTCTGAACCCTAATTTCCTTAATATCTGGTTATGCCGGTCTATCGTATATTATAATGACTATACACTCGTGACTTATGATTTGTTGTCATTTGTTGGCGAGGAGGAGGAGGCAGCACCATATATCCATGCATTAGTATTGTTTGCAGATGGTATTAGTTTTTCTGTAAACAATTAAATAAATGAAAATATTTTTAAAAAAAAAACCAAATTATTTATACTTAAATAATCAATCAAGGTTAATTAAAAAGTAAAAATTACTTTTGCAACTGCAATCTGTTATTTTAGCGCTGACTATGTCATATATTTCATTCATTTTTGTAGTCTTTATCCATATAAAACCACAATCAAAACTGTCATTGTCGTCGATGACAATATAAAAAAATGTATCTATGATACCACTAAGGTGCTTGCGACCAAAAAGGTATATATTAATTAAATGATCAAGAATAATAAAAAAAAAAGATTTGTTTAATGCATTACATTACAATTCTTCAAAAAAAAAAATATACAACTATTAGATAGAAATATAAACGAAAAATAGTAGATAAAAGAAGTAACAAACAACTACATAGGTATATATTATATATTTTATTGTTTGTGATCCTGAAAAAAAAAAACAATATCAATGTTAATAAATTCATATTTTTTTTTAATAAAGTTTCAATATATTACCATTTTAAGACGATGGACTGAAAGCATGCAGGGTACAGGAAATCTTTCAGCACATATGTTGCACTCATACGGTTTTTTTTTTGAATGTACACGGTTGTCGTGATACCTCAATTGTCTCTCTCCCGAATACATTTTGTCACATTTTTTACATTTGACCATTGAGTCTTGATGGATCAATTTTATATGCATGTTCATATTTCTCTTATCGCCGAATTCTTTGTAGCAATGCTTGCATTTATGCTTCAACCCACCCAAATGAAGGTGTTGATGTTCTCTCATAGTGACTTTCCTTTTGAAAACTTTAGGGCAATATTGGCATGTAAAAGTCCCTGGGTTATTTGTTGCCATATGTCTTTTATACCAACAATCATATTTGAAGGATAAATCACATTTGGGACAATGGTATTTATAAGGTGAGTCTACGTCGCTACTTCCTGTCGATTGTATAGAACCTTCATCGTCAGTTTTTTGGTGTACTTCATTTTCGTCAGATGAAGAAACGTCTGTATCTGTAGAACTGTCAGAATCTGTCTCAGACTCTTCTGTAATATAAGTAAAAATTATTGTCATAATTTAATTGTATGAGCTATAAAAGAATATAATTGACGATAGGTAAGAAATTCACAAGATAAAAGTAGAATGTAAAACAAAAAAACAGCTGTATTACCTTTGGTTTCAGTAGAAGCAGGAACATTGACGGTCTCTGGCCGGTCGTTAACTGTTGTCGTAAGTGTTGCTTCGAAGTAATGACATACAGAGTGGTGTGAACGTGCTTGCTCTAATGGATGGTAGTACACGTCTGAAAACAGGCCTATTCGGGCTCCCTTATATATGAAGTTCCCCGTGCCCCTCGCCTACAGATACGGTATCTTGGTTCTCACGGATGTGATTTGTGTGGTCATCATTCTAGCCCACGCATTTACGATTGAATGTATTACTAAACTATGACTATTATTAAAATAATCATTTTACTCTTTTTTTATTTGAATTTCGTCGTATGCACTCAGTGTTTTCTCTATGATTATTATAAAATAACCACCTTATTCTTTTATTTTTGGATCTCGTTGTGTGTGCCCAGTGTTCCTGTAAAATGTTACAACCGCCTATTTCTGAACCCTAATTTCCTTAATATCTGGTTATGCCGGTCTATCGTATATTATAATGACTATACACTCGTGACTTATGATTTGTTGTCATTTGTTGGCGAGGAGGAGGAGGCAGCACCATATATCCATGCATTAGTATTGTTTGCAGATGGTATTAGTTTTTCTGTAAACAATTAAATAAATGAAAATATTTTTAAAAAAAAAAACCAAATTATTTATACTTAAATAATCAATCAAGGTTAATTAAAAAGTAAAAATTACTTTTGCAACTGCAATCTGTTATTTTAGCGCTGACTATGTCATATATTTCATTCATTTTTGTAGTCTTTATCCATATAAAACCACAATCAAAACTGTCATTGTCGTCGATGACAATATAAAAAAATGTATCTATGATACCACTAAGGTGCTTGCGACCAAAAAGGTATATATTAATTAAATGATCAAGAATAATAAAAAAAAAAGATTTGTTTAATGCATTACATTACAATTCTTCAAAAAAAAAAATATACAACTATTAGATAGAAATATAAACGAAAAATAGTAGATAAAAGAAGTAACAAACAACTACATAGGTATATATTATATATTTTATTGTTTGTGATCCTGAAAAAAAAAAACAATATCAATGTTAATAAATTCATATTTTTTTTTAATAAAGTTTCAATATATTACCATTTTAAGACGATGGATTGAGAGCATGCAGGGTACAGGAAATCTTTCAGCACATATGTTGCACTCATACGGTTTTTTTTTTGAATGTACACGGTTGTCGTGATACCTCAATTGTCTCTCTCCCGAATACATTTTGTCACATTTTTTACATTTGACCATTGAGTCTTGATGGATCAATTTTATATGCATGTTCATATTTCTCTTATCGCCGAATTCTTTGTAGCAATGCTTGCATTTATGCTTCAACCCACCCAAATGAAGGTGTTGATGTTCTCTCATAGTGTCTTTCCTTTTGAAAACTTTAGGGCAATATTGGCATGTAAAAGTCCCTGGGTTATTTGTTGCCATATGTCTTTTATACCAACAATCATATTTGAAGGATAAATCACATTTGGGACAATGGTATTTATAAGGTGAGTCTACGTCGCTACTTCCTGTCGATTGTATAGAACCTTCATCGTCAGTTTTTTGGTGTACTTCATTTTCGTCAGATGAAGAAACGTCTGTATCTGTAGAACTGTCAGAATCTGTCTCAGACTCTTCTGTAATATAAGTAAAAATTATTGTCATAATTTAATTGTATGAGCTATAAAAGAATATAATTGACGATAGGTAAGAAATTCACAAGATAAAAGTAGAATGTAAAACAAAAAACAGCTGTATTACCTTCGGTTTCAGTAGATGCAGGAACATTGACGGTCTCTGGCCGGTCGTTAACTGTTGTCGTGGGTATGTCGTCCACTGCCATACTCTCTACTGTAATATAAGTAAGAACTAATGTTATAATGTATTTTAAAAAAAAAAAAATGCTTATAGTAAAATTATTGAAATTGATATGTGGTATGTACAATTGTATATTGTGTGAGCAATATAGGAATATAATTGACGATAGGGAAGAAATTCACAAGATAAAAGTAGAATGTAAAACAAAAAAACAGCTGTATTACCTTTGGTTTCAGTAGAAGCAGGAACATTGACGGTCTCTGGCCGGTCGTTAACTGTTGTCGTAAGTGTTGCTTCGAAGTAATGACATACAGAGTGGTGTGAACGTGCTTGCTCTAATGGATGGTAGTACACGTCTGAAAACAGGCCTATTCGGGCTCCCTTATATATGAAGTTCCCCGTGCCCCTCGCCTACAGATACGGTATCTTGGTTCTCACGGATGTGATTTGTGTGGTCATCATTCTAGCCCACGCATTTACGATTGAATGTATTACTAAACTATGACTATTATTAAAATAATCATTTTACTCTTTTTTTATTTGAATTTCGTCGTATGCACTCAGTGTTTTCTCTATGATTATTATAAAATAACCACCTTATTCTTTTATTTTTGGATCTCGTTGTGTGTGCCCAGTGTTCCTGTAAAATGTTACAACCGCCTATTTCTGAACCCTAATTTCCTTAATATCTGGTTATGCCGGTCTATCGTATATTATAATGACTATACACTCGTGACTTATGATTTGTTGTCATTTGTTGGCGAGGAGGAGGAGGCAGCACCATATATCCATGCATTAGTATTGTTTGCAGATGGTATTAGTTTTTCTGTAAACAATTAAATAAATGAAAATATTTTTAAAAAAAAAAACCAAATTATTTATACTTAAATAATCAATCAAGGTTAATTAAAAAGTAAAAATTACTTTTGCAACTGCAATCTGTTATTTTAGCGCTGACTATGTCATATATTTCATTCATTTTTGTAGTCTTTATCCATATAAAACCACAATCAAAACTGTCATTGTCGTCGATGACAATATAAAAAAATGTATCTATGATACCACTAAGGTGCTTGCGACCAAAAAGGTATATATTAATTAAATGATCAAGAATAATAAAAAAAAAAGATTTGTTTAATGCATTACATTACAATTCTTCAAAAAAAAAAATATACAACTATTAGATAGAAATATAAACGAAAAATAGTAGATAAAAGAAGTAACAAACAACTACATAGGTATATATTATATATTTTATTGTTTGTGATCCTGAAAAAAAAAAACAATATCAATGTTAATAAATTCATATTTTTTTTTAATAAAGTTTCAATATATTACCATTTTAAGACGATGGATTGAGAGCATGCAGGGTACAGGAAATCTTTCAGCACATATGTTGCACTCATACGGTTTTTTTTTTGAATGTACACGGTTGTCGTGATACCTCAATTGTCTCTCTCCCGAATACATTTTGTCACATTTTTTACATTTGACCATTGAGTCTTGATGGATCAATTTTATATGCATGTTCATATTTCTCTTATCGCCGAATTCTTTGTAGCAATGCTTGCATTTATGCTTCAACCCACCCAAATGAAGGTGTTGATGTTCTCTCATAGTGTCTTTCCTTTTGAAAACTTTAGGGCAATATTGGCATGTAAAAGTCCCTGGGTTATTTGTTGCCATATGTCTTTTATACCAACAATCATATTTGAAGGATAAATCACATTTGGGACAATGGTATTTATAAGGTGAGTCTACGTCGCTACTTCCTGTCGATTGTATAGAACCTTCATCGTCAGTTTTTTGGTGTACTTCATTTTCGTCAGATGAAGAAACGTCTGTATCTGTAGAACTGTCAGAATCTGTCTCAGACTCTTCTGTAATATAAGTAAAAATTATTGTCATAATTTAATTGTATGAGCTATAAAAGAATATAATTGACGATAGGTAAGAAATTCACAAGATAAAAGTAGAATGTAAAACAAAAAACAGCTGTATTACCTTCGGTTTCAGTAGATGCAGGAACATTGACGGTCTCTGGCCGGTCGTTAACTGTTGTCGTGGGTATGTCGTCCACTGCCATACTCTCTACTGTAATATAAGTAAGAACTAATGTTATAATGTATTTTAAAAAAAAAAAAATGCTTATAGTAAAATTATTGAAATTGATATGTGGTATGTACAATTGTATATTGTGTGAGCAATATAGGAATATAATTGACGATAGGGAAGAAATTCACAAGATAAAAGTAGAATGTAAAACAAAAAAACAGCTGTATTACCTTTGGTTTCAGTAGAAGCAGGAACATTGACGGTCTCTGGCCGGTCGTTAACTGTTGTCGTAAGTGTTGCTTCGAAGTAATGACATACAGAGTGGTGTGAACGTGCTTGCTCTAATGGATGGTAGTACACGTCTGAAAACAGGCCTATTCGGGCTCCCTTATATATGAAGTTCCCCGTGCCCCTCGCCTACAGATACGGTATCTTGGTTCTCACGGATGTGATTTGTGTGGTCATCATTCCAGCCCCCGCATTTACGATTGAATGTATTACTAAACTATGACTATTATTAAAATAATCATTTTACTCTTTTTTTATTTGAATTTCGTCGTATGCACTCAGTGTTTTCTCTATGATTATTATAAAATAACCACCTTATTCTTTTATTTTTGGATCTCGTTGTGTGTGCCCAGTGTTCCTGTAAAATGTTACAACCGCCTATTTCTGAACCCTAATTTCCTTAATATCTGGTTATGCCGGTCTATCGTATATTATAATGACTATACACTCGTGACTTATGATTTGTTGTCACGTAGTAACTTGCTTACTACACTAGTTTGGAAAACATAGTTTTCGTGTTAATTTCCGAATATTCGTCTTACGTACATCTCTCAGCTACTTAGCCTGTAAATTGCAATTATCGTATAATTTAAATCGTATTTTTTTTTAGTGGAGCCCAAGTCACTCGAGTCCCTCTAAAAAAATTTACACATTTTGATTTTACGTTAGTTAAACTTTCGATTAAAAATGTTTTGGAAACATAATTTTCCAAGTTTATTTCCAAATAGTTGTCTTAAGTACATCTCGCAGCTACTCACCCCGTACATCGCAATTATCGTATAATTTAAATCGTATTTTTTTTTAGTTCAGCCCAAGTCCCACAAGTGCCAATTTCTAATTATACAAATTTTAAATCTACGTTAGTTACCCTTTCGATTAAAAATGGTTAGGAAAATGAATTTTTCGTGTTTATTTAAAAATATTCGTCTTACGTACATCTCTCAGCTACTTAGCCCGTAAATTGCAATTTTCGTATAATTTAAATCGTATTTTTTTTTAGAGAAGCCAAAATCACTCCTGCCCCACTCCAAAATATACACATTTTAATTTTACGTTAGTTACCCTTTCGATTAAATATGGTTTGGAAAATTTATTTTCCATGTTTATTTCCAAAAATACGTCTTACGTACATATCGCAGCTACTTTGACCGAAAATTGATTTCGGATTTTATTTTACTCGTGGCCATGTCCCCCGAGTGCCCAATCAAAAATATACAAATTTTTAGTCTATGTTAGTGAGCCTTACGATTCAAAATTTCTTTTAAAACATAGTTTTTCGTGTTTATTTCCAAATATTCGTCTTAAATACATCGTGCAACCACTTAGCCCGTAAATTGCAATTATCGTATAATTTAAATCGTATTTTTGTTTTACTGTAGCAAAAGTAACTGGAGTGCCCCTGTAACAGGCGATTTTTACCCCCGGATATTTTTACCGCTGGTAAAATAAACCTAAGATATTTATACCCCCGGTAAAATTTTATTTGGTGTAAAATTATCCTAGGTTAATTTTACCCCCCGGTAAAAATATACTAGGTAATTATACCCCCGGTACAAATATACTATGATATTATTTCCCCCCCCCCCGTAAAATTATTCTACAGGGGGGTAAAAATATACTAGGATATTATTTCCCCCACCTCTAAAATTAATCGACAGGGGGGTAATAAAATACTAGGATATAATTAACCATCTGTTTAAAATATACTAGAGTATAATTAAGTTCAAAAATTGACCAATATGGAAAAATCACGAAAATTAGCAAATTATTTTGAGTTTAGAATTCGTAAAAATTTTTCTTTTTAAATATAAGATTTTAAAATGTGATACAAGATTCCTTATAAAATTATATACCTTTATCAAAAAAAAAAAAAATGTCTATATGTAAGTCAAATTAAATTTTTATTAGCGTTTGAAATTCAAATTTTTACATTATTGGATATTCACTCTATTTCTCTTGTAGCGATTTCCTTATTTTGTTGTAATTCAAAAACGAATAACTGTATATACATGAAAATTTCACTGAATGTTCATATTATCATTTTCTATATTCTGTACAATTTTCAAAATATTTTGTCTTATTTTGAGCTATTTACGGACATTTTCAGTTTTCAACTTTTTTAGTTTTTTTTTCTATAAATATCAATAAATCTTTATCTGTTGGGCCAAAAAGTGTAAAAATTTAATATAAGGCTCCTGATATATTTTTACAATATCAGTTGAAAAATATTAAAAATACATGGGAACAATTTTTTTTATTAGCATTTAAAGATCGAATTTTGACAACCTTTATCAAAATCTCGAAAATTATCAATCATTGTAATTAATAAATTATAAAATGTTTAGTTTTTATAGCTAAGGATTGCAAATTTAAAACAAAGGTTCTCATAAATAGTTCATACTGTAACCAAAAAATCTAAAAAATATATGAACACAGTTATTTTTTAGACATTTTAAATTCAAATTTGGACGAAATTACATAATAAAAAACCTAGAATAACTATTTTAGTTATTTTGTTGTGATTGTATAATATTTTTCGTAATATATTATTAATGCAAATTTCCAAATCCACCCATGAGGTATTGCATTTAGATTCGTTTCTTTTAAGATTTTTAAAGCAGTAAAAAGATCCCCTGTAGGCCTAAAAACCCGCATTTCTTTTTTTTTACAGCTAAACTATAT